CGGGGGGGACACAGAGCCGGTGAGGGCACACCCCTCCGGGACACACCCTCCCGAGCCACACCTCCCCGTGCCTCTGCCAGTGCCATGACACATCCAGGAAACTCCACCCAGCCGCTGACTAACACTGAGCTGACATGGAGCAACTCAACGGCAGCACCTTGGCGGTGGTTACCCAAGTCCCACTACTGCCTCTACCTACTCATCCTCCACCCCGACTCCTTCCTTAGGCCCCTCCAATCACCGCCCACCTTCAGGTAATGTCTGTTGGCCAAGTCAAGGCTAACCAACTCTGTGTAGGTTCCCACCCCTTGAGGCCCCACCCACTCCCCGTCCAGCCCCTCACCGTGACGTCCCAGGGCCGAAACAGGAACTGGCGGTTGAGGTTGGACTTCTCGATGGTGTCCATGTCGGTGACGGTGACGCTGCCGTCGGGGCCGCAGCCCAGCCCCACCATTGCAAAGTTCTTGAGCAGCTCACAACCGATGGCCCCCGCCCCCACCTGCCAGGGACATGGGGGGACATGTGGGGACAGAACCTGAGGTGGGCCAGGGGGTTGGGGACACGTGGGTAGAAAGAGAATGGGGCTGAGGGAACACTTGGGGATGCTCATGGGATATACAGGGACACTTGGAAGACACTTGAAGGGAAACGGGAACATTTTGGGAACACTGAGCACCAGAGTAAAAGCTGTGAAAACACCAGGGAACGCTTTAGGGATTCTCAAAGACAGTCAAGACACCGCCAAGGACATATGGGGACACCTGGGAACACGACCCAAAATGACCCAGGAGGGCTGGGGAAACGCGGGTGGGAGCGGCGGCGCTTGGCAGAGTCATGAGAGGACATTTTGTGACATCTACAGGACGTGAGACAAAACAAAAAATAGATTGCTGTGGACTCTGGGGACAGTTGGGGACACTGACCACAAAGTACTTCTGGGCGCCCAGCTTGGCCTGCAGCTCCGCCCCGAACACGGCGATCTGCCCGTCGTAGCGGCTGTTGCGCTGTGGATGATGTGACACCGGGGTCACCCGGCTGGGCCACCTCCAGGGGACACCCCTGGGGCCACAGAGCCACCACAGGGCCCAGGGGTGACACCTGCCCATGGATGTCCCCAGGGGGGTACAGCGAGGGGGTCCTCAAGGCACGGCCACCCACGGGGGCTCAGGGGCCGCCCAAACCCCATCGAGGTACCCGCTCATGGGTGTCCCCAACAAGGTGACGAATGGGTCTCCTCCAGCAAATGTTCAATAACCAACATCCCACCGGGGAGACACCCCCAGGGGTTTCCCCCCCGGGGGTGCCCCAGCCCGCCCGGGTGCCCCCAGCCCCTCACCGGCCGGCACTGCTCCTCGGTGAGCAGCAAGTCGCGGTCCTCCTCGGGCAAACACTCCAGCGCGTCGAAGTAAAGCCACTGAGTGATGGGCGTGAACTTCCCCGACACGGCCTGTGCGGGGACAGCGCAGGGACCCCGGGGACGCGTCAGGGACGAGGCAGGAACTCCGGAGAGACACGTCAGGGACAGGACAAGGACCCCGGGGGGACACGGGGGTCTGGGGGTTCCGGGGGCCCAAGTGCGGTACCTTCATGACCTCCTGAGCCGCCAGGCCCCCGATGAAGGCGTTGACAGGAGCCAGGTCCCCGGTGGCCTGGAAGGCCAATTCCCGCACCAGCTCCTCGTCCAGCTCCGCCCCCGCAGCCACCTCCCGGGCCAGGGCCACCACCTCGGCCGCGTCACCCTGGGACACACACACACCCCCATGGCATTGGGGGGCACACACGTGGCGTTGGGGGAGGCACACAGAGCTGGGGACACCACCAAGGGACCACGACCAGCAGTAATGGTGGGGGTGAAGGGGCTGGTGGTCTCTATGGCCTCAATGGTCCCCAGTGTCCCCAAAAACCTCCACCGTGTCCCTGACACCCCCAATGGCCCCAGTGTCCCCAAATGGTGGTAGGACCATGGTGGGGGTGCCTGTTGGTGCAGGACCTGATGACTCCATGTTCCCTGGGTCCCTTCAAGCCGCCAATACCTCTGACAACCTCAAATGTGGGAAAGATCATAGTACTCTCTGTGCCCCCAACACCCTCAGTGTCCCCAGTGCTCCCAGCAGCTGGAGATGGGCCACAGGGGTGGCCACGCTGGGGTAGGGCCTGGTAACCTCCACATCCCCAAGCCCCTCAATGTCCCCCCCTGTCCCCACCTGGTGGCGGGGCCGGGGGGGGTGGCCGTGCTGGCGCATGAAGTGGTGCAGCCCCTGCCACCCCCAGTGCAACATCGAGGGTCTCTCGGCCTTCCCGAAATCCATCACCATCATCTCCGGCTCGGCCAGAGCATCCCGGAACCGCTTCTGGGACAGCGACAGGGACAAGGACAGGTGAGGGTCACTGCCCCCAGTGTAACCCAGTGAGCCCCCCCCCAGTGCCTCCCACAGCCACTTTTGGGACAGCAATAGCTGAGCATGCCAGTGCCCCCAGTACAACCCAGTGACCCCCCAGTGCCTCCTCACAGCCGCTCCTGGGCAGCGAGACAAGTACAGGGGAGCACCAGTGACCCCCACTATAAACTCATGTTTAGCTAATTCCCTCATAAACTCTTCTTGTCACTCCCCCACTATGTCCCACTGCCCTCCCCTCAACCTTCCACCTCTCCCAGTGCTCCCCAATCTCCCCCAGTGCCCCACAATACAACCCTGCCCCCTTCCAGTGCTCCCAGATTCCCCCAAACTCCTGTCAATCCTCCCCATCTCTCCCACTGCCCCTCCCTGCCTTCCAGAGCCCTTCCAGTGCCCCCCAGAGCTCCCAGTGCCACTCACGAAGTGGATGTGCTTGGGCATCTTGACCTGGGTGACGATGCCCCCCTGCACGTAGTCCCCGAACCCGCTGGTGTCCCCGATGCTGAAGGTGTACGGCCCTGGGGGAGGGGTGTCACCAGGGCACCCCCGCTCCAGGGCACCCCAAAAAGGGACCTTGACATCCAGGAGACCCCCAGAAAGGGCACCGGGTGTGTCAGAAACCCCCTAGAACAGCCCCAGGTAACCAGGGTTGTCATCACAAAGGCCCAGGGCTCACCGAGGACGCGGATCTCGACGGGGCCGCAGCGGTTCAGCTCCTCCATCCCCTCCACCTCGGTGAAGGTGACAAAGTCGCCCGTCTCGAAGCCGTGACGCGCCTCGTCCAGACACGTCACCTCCCCGGGGCACCCCTGGGGGGACACAGTGGGTGCTGAGGGGACCCTGACACCCAGGAACCCCCCAGGGTACCCTTGGGAAGGGGGAGGACACACAGGGGGTGCTGAGGCGACCCCATACCTTGGTCACCATGGAGACCATGGCGCTGAGGGGCTGCTCCCCGTTGGGGTCTGTCACCACCATGTCGTCCCCAAAGTCACAGAACAGCTGCCTGCAAGGGGGGTGTCAGTGGGAGACCCCAAAAAGGAACCTCAGTGTTCAGGAATTCCCTGAAGAGCCCTCCCAGCCCCCCTTCACCCAAAGAGGCCCCGGTCCCCAAGAACCCCCCGGCCCCCTCACCCGAAGAGCCCGCGCGTGTCGGCCACCACCAGTTTGATGCCGTGGCTGTGGCAGAAGTCTCCAACCCAGAGCTGCTCCTCCAGGGGGGAGTTAGTCAGGACCACCACCTGTGGGGGAACAAGGGTCACCTGGGGCACCTACCTGGGGTGGGGGGATCATCTCCTGGACATGGTTATCAGGGGGCTTTGGGGGTACAGGTGGCCCGGGGGGGTACACCTGGCCCCTGAGAGGGGG